GGAAAGAAAGTAAGAAACAATGGTGTTGCAGAACGCAGGGCATCTGAAAATGGGATCTGTAGGGAGTAAGAGGTGGGTAATGTGGCAGGATAAGGAAGGCAGAGCCAAGGGTTCCAGTTGTAACGGGGCGGCAGGCAGATGCTCTAGTTTCCTTGACAGAAATGGAGGTCAAATACAGCAGCAGCAACAGAGGCCGAGAGACACAGACGTGAGGAGAAAAAAATGAGTGTGGAGGGGGCCACCATCATGAGTTTAACTGGCGGTGTGGGACACAGCTTTTGAGCACACGCTGTGCCGAGAAGCTCTAACTATAGTAAATGAGAAGGGGATGAGACAGGACAGAGGCGCACAGTGTGGTGTCTCCTTCCAAGATGGATGGAGGGGATAAAAGGCTTATGAGGAGTCTAAGAACATTAATAGGCATAAGTGATAGGGAGGGATAAAAATAAAAACATATGTTAACTTCATAGGGAGGACAGATGGTAATGTGGTGGCTTGAGCTAAAGAGACTCACTAATGGATGGAGAGACAGAGAGAGAGGGGGTACGCAGGGAGAACACATGATGATGTGAAATAGCACACCTGGGAGTATGTGTCTCACCTATTTTCTGCAGTAAAAGAGCAGTAAACATGCGAGGCGGCAGATGAAAAACAATCCTTGTTTTGTGTTTGAACATTTAAACTTGCACTGAATATCCTTTGGGCCCAGGGAGTGAATTTTCCCTAACGGTGGTTTCCAGTTGTCTTTGTGGAGCAGGAGCAGCAGCGCCGAGCAGAGTCAGAGGGCCCTGGATTGAACGCATGCGGCCAGTGTAATTGCCAAACAGAATCCAGCTCGCACAGCACTGAACAAACAGCAGACATCAGAGTCACTAAATCTCATCACCGTCACTGGCCAAGTTCTACAAGCACGCAAGTTACAACTGTAGCAAGTGCAAACAAGAGTGGAAACATGTTAGCACACACAGGAGTAAACAGATGAAATACTTGCAATGTGTTCAGAGTCAAAACACAGTTTTCTTTATGTACAAACCTCATTTGCAGATGAGTGTGATTACTTCTGAAAACCACTTCAAATTAAAATGACAGTTTGGCAATTAACCTAAACTTAAATTTAACACAAAAAAGAAAAAAAGAAGACAGTTTTTTATAAACAGTGGTCCTACACCAGTGGTCTCCAACACATTGTTTGCGACAGGTATATATATATATATATATATATATATATGTATATATGTATATATATATGGGGGCTTCTTGGTCAGTCTTTGTGTTGAAACTCATCTGACCAGCGGTGCATAAAGGAAGAAAACAGGGAAATATGTTAATCTGCTGAGGTGCGTGCGTGTGTGTGTGTGGTCCATGGTCTGTGAGACAGAAATTGGCTGTGGTGGTAGACTGCATAGGAGAAGTAAATTTAAATCAGCCCAGCCTCTGCTCCTCTCAGGTGTGAAATGTGCATACACACATGTGTGTGCTCTTCATACAAATGTGTGCCTGTTTACCCATCTGGCCATGTGATTAATATTCCGACTGACTGACTAACTGACTAACTGACTGACTGACTGACAGACTAACTGTAGACTGGAGAGGATGCATCACCCTGGCCAAGATGTCTGTGCTTCAAATGTAGCGTGTTGAGCTCTGCAGGCAGGTCTGAAGTTGTGAAAGGATGGAGGATCATCACAGGCTCTTTATCCCTATTTATTCACCCTGCACTGAGCTTAAGAGCTCTCTGCAGTAACAGCAGGTGTTAGCGCCTGCAGGAATGGGAATGCAATCAGCTAACATGTTAGCTACTCATTTACTTAGATTTTACTCATCCAGATACGAGTCAGCAACATGCTCCTGACACAGCTTACTCACCATCTGGATTCACTGATAATTTTTTTTTTCAACTTGTAGAAATACCGCAGGCAAAATGGTGGATTTTCCAGCACAAAGTTCTAATTCAATAACCCAGCTTGAACCTAAATCCTGATGTCATTCAACCAACACAGCGGTTATATCCCATTTTCAAATCCCACTCTCTCTCTTTTTCCTGCCTGTTGAATAACGGAGGCACTTAATTTGGTGTCATTTGTGACTTTCTATCTCCATACCCCCAGCTGCGATAGGTTTCCAGAAAGCTGGCTTTTCTTCCATTCGTCTGCTCTCTCACATAATTGGTAGGTTTCTTGAAATGCTGTGTTTAAAGGTTTGTTCCCTGTTATCAGTGCTAATGAGAAAATGAGTAGCGTTACGCTGTAATGTCCCAGAGAAGCAAAGGAATTTTAATGTGATTCCTGTAAAGAACACATACAAATGGTAAAAGGAAAGTCTTACTTATAACAATGTTTGTTTTCTGCGCCGTTCCGTGCAGCCATTCTTTTTCTGTTCTTAGTAAAATGTAATGCACCACAGTGATTGGAATTTAATGTGTTAAAAATAAAGCACAGCCACACCCAAATTCATTATTTTATATCAGTAAAAAACCCTTGCTTCTGCTCCTGTTTGCTTAGCAGAAAAGTGACTCAGCGACCAAAAGAGTCGCAAAAAACTTTACTTTTCATGTCCTCCAAAAATATTCTCCCACTGTCAAGCCAACAGTATCTTATTATGTCTCACTGTTTTTTACTGTAAGTAAACAGTAATAAGGACTGTCACCAATATGCAGTAACCTTCATCCTTTCACACTTCACTTTGTGTTGTATTGGAATGTCTCTCTTTATTGCATGTAACACAGTTTGGTTTTTTTTTGACAACTACAGGCAGGACAGCCAGACACAAATAACTGTCTGTAGACTACATCGCAGCCTGTATCAATATTTACTGGGCTAAAATACAGAGGCAGTTGTCAGCCCCCCGGCACTTCTTTGTGTTAGTCAAGGGTGAGCTCAAGTTTGTTCCAGATTTAATGGTAATCCAAGCATGAAATATTCATAAAGTGTCCTGCCAAAAGTCAGATTTGGTTTTGTTTGAACATTAGCAACATTAAAACTTGATTTGTCTCTTTCTCTCGACTGTTTTTAATAGTCACAATGTGGTAAATATACACTGTCTCTTGCATCAAACAATTTTTTTTATTTATTTTTAGATTTATTTTTAAAGATCAACCTTTAACACCATAAACCATTATTTTAAGGTTGAAGGCAATGTGACTTCAAATCTGAATAATTGTGAAACAATTTTAAACAAGAACATGGTTTTAAAGATGCACCTTGAGACAGACAGATCTGAACCAGCAGTCATTCAACACAAATGGCCTAAAAACTGATAGTGGTTTACTATAGCACAGAGCTGTAATGTGCTACTCACTGTATACCTCCAACGTGACAATAATAATGTGACAATAACTTAAATCTGCTCCATTTTGGTACTTGGAATGGCAAAAAACTTACCCCTAACTTCTAGCCTTGAATAACCTTAAAATAGTGCTCAGCAACACACACAAAAATATTACAGATTTTATTTTCTATTTCCTAAAATTGTCAATCTCCTCTGAGGCCCCACTAATCCCCATAGGTTGCGTCCGATTTTATGTGTTTTAAATTGCAGCAATGCAACGTTACATTGCTGACTCTCTCTTGGTTTTTTCCAAAGGTAAACAAAGGTAAACATCAGGGAAGACTCGTTATTGTTTGCAAAAGGACAGAAGAACAATATACTATATATGTGTGTGTGTGTGTGTGTGTGTGTGTGTGTGTGTGTGTATACAGTATAAGGTTGGAAAATTTAAACTAATAGAAGAAAAGGCTTGAAATTACTTGTCAGAATTTCAGCACCGGACAGCTCCAGCTTCACTAAAGCAACACAGTGGTGGCTGAAGAAAGATCTTTTAGACCAACATTTGGTTTAAAAGTTATACATTTTCAAATGGAACTTTGTACAAGAACCTCCACTTTTGAGCCAACACTAACTGTAATCATTTTAAAGGGCAAAACAGAACACCAAGCCATCTTTCTGTAACTGAAACTCCCAACAATAAGGTCTTATAAAACTTTCTACATGGATTTCCTGAGAGGGAGAAGATAAAGTTCTTTCACAGCAAGATGCTAATTTGGGCTTATGCTGATTAAGCTGTCAATCGTACTGCCAAGAAACCCAGTGCATGTGTGATCCACTCTACGCCGGAGCACATGTGAGCGGAATTTCTAAAGCTTAAGGAGACACCCGTGGTCGTGATTCATAGGGAAGGAAAATACGAAATAGCTTTTGAATTCCGGCAACACGGATCACGTACAAATACGAGAGATTTCCTCTAAAACTGTTAAGATAGGAGATTAGTACAAAACAAGCTCAGATATTCTGTCATCAGCTTTTTGTCCTTAGGTGCACAGAGAAAGTGGCTAATTGAAAGTAGAAGTGGAAATAGAACAGAGTAATGAGGGATGATGAGGCAGTGTTGTGACTGCGTTCGGCACTTCACTGGCTTTTCATGTGTTAATGAAGGAAAACATTTCACAAGCTGATGTTGGTATTTTCTTACGTTTAGTGCAAGAAAGCAATGACGTCTTTCACACATTTTTATTTACAATATTTTACTACAACTCATAACACTAGAAAGCAGCTATGTCGTTAAAGTATAGAACTGAGCATGTTGAGATGTTTTAACATATTCAGACCTATTCCCTCTTGGTGACTTATAATGTAAATTCGAGTCAAGTTTTATTCTCTGTGGGTCTGAGGTTATGAACTCTGGTCAAGTTGACAAGAGAAGCTTTTGACCCTTAACCCTGAACCAGCAGCAGTGCAGAACATATCCACAGAGAGGAAAATGATTCTTTGCTGTTGTTTGACAAACATACGTCTGAGTAAGACAGAATATAATCGTCACATCTCCAAGATGCTCAAATAGATCAACTTCCATTAAAGTGATCCTCTTAATTTGTGAAATTTGTATTTCCACCTTATACATGCAGGGGTCCTCACCCTGTGTCACCCTCACCCCCTGCCTCTGTCTTAATCCAGTTTTCCACAATGCATGCTGTTTTTTTTTTGTTTTGTTTTTTTTTTTTTGTTTTTTTTTTTTTCAAATAAATTGGGGACTCACACTTTACTTGCCCTCAGCCGTGAATGCAAACGAGATTGTTGTCTGCTTGTGTTTGGGGAGCTGTCCATGGTACCAAGGCTTTTACCCCCAAATCAGCTGTGATTGGCTTCTTCTTCTCCCGACAGTTAAAGGATGATGGGAAGAAAATGACAGACTGAATGCATAAATATGTGCATAGATTATTGAAAACAAGTATAGGCTGAAGATGGAAATGACAAACCATAATATCCCCATTAGGTAAACAATGCAACCTTCAATTAACTGATAACACTATTTTCTGACTTTACAAATACTATAAAAATATAAATAATATAAAAGGTATAAATTGATGGGACTCTGAGGTGAGGTGAGTGATGTGGATGTTGTTTTCGTTCTGTACTAACAATATGTTAGAAAAGCAGCTCTGTAGTTGACATATACAGTACATGCATGCAATACATTATTCATTATGTCAGACAAAATCAAAAGTTGTATTTTTTATGTATGTGACACAATGGGAATTTGTGTCTAGTGGCAGACAATTGGGTTATAGGCTCAGACAACAGAAACACATCTTAAAAAGTACAACAATGATAAACAGTTTTCAGGCTTTGTATAAATATTGCTGCAGGCTTAGTTGTTTAATAAGTGCAAGTAGATCCTTCTTATGACAGTAATAGCCTGTAGTAAAATGTCCTGACTTTCACCCTCTGTTTATATAGAAACAGTGAATTCTTTTAGTTGGACTGGGCGAGACTACAGCTTTGACCGAAAACTTTAAAAATTATTTTATGGATCACCTGGTTTAGCACAGATAGAAATAGAGAGCGCACAGCACAGACTGATCTTGAGAAAAACCCATACTGGCAGCTGATGAAATAGCATGCAAATTCATCAGAATACATTGAAATTCAACAGGCGTTAAAATGCTCTTAATACGACCACCAAAAGGAAATGTGACCTAAAATGGGTTTGAACCAAATCACCAGGATTCTTAATGCTATGTATTTGGGGTTTTTTTCTCCCCTTTTTAGTTTCTAATAGTTACTTTGTTAGTAGTCAATTTAAGTCGTAAAGGGAATAACTGCCTCCCTGCCCCAGACCATGAGCCTAAGAACAAAAATGAATATTAAATATGTTGTATATTTGTCAAAGCGTTTTTTTAATACAAAGTCATTGATACTGACCATTGGGCAAATGCTCATGCAAATTATATCCTATTTTATTTTGATGCAAAGATTTGAACAAATAAGCATCAGTGTTTGCCAGTGTTTGTCAGTGTCTATCCAAATTTGTCAAACGTAAAGGAAGATGAAGGCAAGGAAAGATTGGACGCACCACCATACAGTCACAGTGTTTTCTCTCAGATTAGGGCTGACCAAGCAAATCACCGTGTTGTTCAGAAGCCCTCATTAAACTCATTAAACACAATCATCACCACAATACATTTTTTAATGTGTAATAAAACCATCTGTGCGTCAAACAAAAGAATACTATCCATCAGCAAATCCCAGGCTAAAGTACTCAAGATAACCACAGATGCAGGCCCACAGTCATGATTATATTTGACCCCCTCCACTGATTCTGACTAAGAGCTGCTTTACATTTTCTATCCACTGGCAGTCCACCCCGGACATCCGTCATGCGTTGCTCCTTTTTTTCTTTTGAAATGCCAGCCACTGCGTCTGTCTGCACCAAAAAGACGAAGGGAGGAAAAAAAAGCCGAGGCTCAGAAGTCGCTGACTGAAAAGTCAAAGGATGGAGATAAGCTGTGTACACTGTGTGCAACGTATATTACTACAAAAACCCGCTGTTATTTCATGCCACAACTACATTAGATTTGCGCGCAGATACAAAAACCTTTCGGCGTGTGTCTGCACAGCCCTCTGCCGACACATCAGTTTGCACATGACCAATGGTCGAAAAGCGGCTATTTGGGAACCAAACAATCGTCGATGGTCGCGAAAGAATCGATGACATCATGTCTGTGGGGAGGTGGATGTAGTGTTTGTGAGGCGTGAAAACAGATGCTCGTGTGGCCTCTGGTTGCAGAGTTGCGAGTATATTGGTGCGGGGAGGAGGGAGGAGAGGTGAACTGAGGAGACGGTGGTGTCTGACAAACACACACACTCACACGCACACACACAGAGGGAGAGAGAGAGAGAACACTGCATCGACTTCAATTTCTGTTGACAGTCTCACCACAATCCTATCCCTAATCCAAATCAAACCTCAGAAATGAGCTTCTCTCTCCTCAGGAGAAAACTTTCATCCCGACAAGGACCACTGGTCCTGGGAGCACTGGTCGCCTGGACTGAAAGATCATATCAAGGCACATAAAGCCCAGAGTGTACACACGTGTGTACACTCAGCTACTACGTCCTTTGAACACTCTTCCCTCTCCACACAAGCGCAATGGCGCACTGTGGTGAAATAATTACACTGGTGCATTTTCTTTGCAGTTGATGTGGACATGGTGTACATGGTACAAACGCGCTGGCAGACGTGGTGCACAGGAGCAGCGGCGGCAGCAGCAGCCTATATGAGAGTGTGTTTGGAGACTGAGACAGAGTGTAATGGCTCGAGCACAGAGCTGATTTTCAAACAGGTCATGTCCACAGCAGAGGGTTACACCAGGTGACAGACATGGAGAGGTTATGGAGTGATGGGATCGAGTGTGACGTACTAGAAAAGGCTGTACTTCGCAGGGTTGTCATTGTTTCTCCCCCATGATAAACTTGAGCTTTGTCTTACCTCCACACTTGCCCCATCTGAAAGATGTGTATGAAGCTCTGCCAGATCCAGACAGACAGGCGACAGCACCTGTCTCTCTGGAGACATGCTGTGGCCCGGCGACTACTCAGCCCCTCCACGGAGCCCAGACCGCCCTCAGTGTAATCCTGCACAAACCACCTGAAGCTCAGGATCTGGACCAGAACCGAGGGCACTAGCACGAAGAACAGGGTCAGGCCCGACCACAGGAAGTTCTGCTTGTGGTAATAATCGATGGCCAGCCACAAATCAGTCCCCACATCCCAAAAGAAGACCAGCAGCGCCAGGATGATCCACAGGCAGTCCAGCCAGAGGCGCTCCTCCTGCGTTGGCCGCGCCGCATCTCTCGCCTTTCCCCTGGTCCGGAGGTAATGCAGACATGCGCTCCTGCAGCCCCAGTAGCACGAAGAGGTGTTGCAGCAGTGGCAGATGTGGAATGAGCTGCCGTTCTGGTTCTCGTCCTCCCCGGTCCCCACCACCTCGTCCAGGTTGTGCAGCTGGGCGAAACCGGTGACGACCCCGCGACCATCGGATTTCGCTGCCATCTTTCCCTCTGATGTTCCCACCTCCTCCGGCTTCCGGGGTTCGTGACGACACTTCCCTGACACCTGTTTTGCACCCCAAATATTGGAGCCATCTAAAAGCAGGGTGTCCGCGCCAGGCCGTGGCCGTGGATCACTCGGTCCCCAGACGGCGCGTCAGTGGCGCCACGGACGCAGGAGCGCATCTTGTCTCGCTTCTCCTTGGCTGCACAGCTGTTCTCACCTGATAATGAAAACCAATCGAATCTACTAATCTCACTCTGCCTAATTTATAACTCCCTCATCCAGCTTTGATCTACCACATATCTCCAACCTGTGCATATCGCCGTCCTTTTCCCTCTGCAGCTCTGCTCCGGCTGCAGCCTGCGTGCTTTGAGCAGACCGTCCCTCCACTGTCCCACGCCGACGTAATTCCCCCCCCCCCTCTCCACCACCCCCCCCACTTCCCCCTCCC